AACCCTCTTCAGAGGTGTGAGTTTGAATGGTCAGGGTACAGGTGGGTGCAGATCCCCATCCATTCACTGAGCAACTGTGAGGTCTGCGTGGCACCGCCCGGTTCTGGTATCCATGATGGACATGGCAGAAAAGGAAGTTTGTTGCCTGAAGGATATGACAGACATCGAGATAGGAACTTAAAATACCTGGTTTGTGATTTTGCTCAGGAAAGTACTGTAGGAGTCAAAATGGGAGGCCTCAGACAGACGGGTTGGAGAAGGTCCAGAGGTGATGGCATCCACGTTGTCCTCTCACAGGTGTAGGTCAGGGAAGGGGCTCTGGGTGCTGACAATGAGTGTGAGCCACTGTGTGCAGAGTGGTGTGGACTGGAGCGCGCAGTGCGGGGTTAGAGGAGGAGGAGGTGGACGCTGTGTCTGCGCTGATCTGTGCACTTCCTGATGGGGCCGGTGCAGGGGCTGGGGCTTAGCTCTGCTCAGGCCTCAGGCCAAGCCTGGTGGGGTTGTTCTGGAGAGATTAGATCAGCATATTAGATGAGATTAGATCCTAGAGCCTGTCTGGAGTCTGGGTCTTGGGAGCCGCCTAAGAATTCTACTGGGTTGTGGGTTGCGAGAGTGAGCAGGGGAGCCAACTCTCCACACACTCTGCTGCCGGCCACAGCCTCCCCAGGCTTAGTCCCTAGAGCGTTCACACCTGCCTGTTCAGATTCCTGCCCATTTCTTCTGGACACATGAGCCACCAGCCTCAAAGGACAAGGGAGTGGACTCTCCTTCCCTTTTCCACCTGGAACCCCCTGGCTGCAGTCTCCTCTGTGCCTGTCTCACTCGTGTTCTGCTGGGTACTCTAGGCCCCAGGACAGGTGCTTGCCGGGACAGTGTGACCTCGAGGCTCCGCAGCAGTTGTCACAGTGTGTCCGCCTCAAAATGGCTCCATCCCAGCCCTCTGCAGCCAGGTGGGCATCGCAGTGCACTTTCCAAACACCAGTTCAAGGTGAAGCTCTGGGTCAGCTGAGCTCGGGTTGCTTTCCGATCTCAGGTTTTCCGTGGCGCACCTTGCCTTGCTGGCCGTGTGTCCCTAGCGCTGCTGCCACAGCTGGCTGGGCTGCAGGGGACTCACCCTTCTGTGCTCAGCGTACCCACGTTTCTGGGCTTCCACACTCTGACTGCCAAACACTGCAGTTTAGCGACATCCGAGGAGCAGCGAGGAGCAGCGCCCACTGCCTGCGTGCCCAGCCTGGAGCACGGAGGGATCACAGGCCCAGGTATTGATGTCAGCATCCCCAGTGACCTTTTCGTTTCTAAATGCAGTGGCATTAATGAATGTAGAACGTAATTAGTAGTGGAGAAATTATGCATCCAAGAAATTCAGAGATTGTAACATAGGATTCATGATTTAATCCATATTTAATCCTACTTTCAGAAGGACTTGAAAACCAGATAAAAATTCATGCCTGAAAAGTAAAGTGTGTAAATCTCAGAATAAATGTGTAGCTGGTCCTGAACTCTGACATGTCACGCAGATACTGTGGTACTGATGGGCAGTGTGACTCCATGGGAAGACCTCTGGGAGGATCTCTGTCAGTGCAGACTGGGAAGAGCAATGCAAACCTGAGCTTTCCCGGAATTGCACTTTTCCAATCTGTGTGGAAAATTAACTTGGAACTAAAAAATGGAGAACAGCTACAAAAAAAATGTTTGTTTCTGTAACAGACAAAGGGTCTCTGACACAGAGGAAGTGTGGCCTGCTTAGTCACAGATGGTCCAGAGACAGGGGAAGTGTGGCCTGTCAGTAACACAGGGTCCCTTAGATTGGGGGGGAAGTGTGGCCCGCTCAGTAACACGGGGTCCCCCAGACAGGGTGTTGGGGGGAGAGTGGCCCACTCAGAAACACGGGGTCCCCTAGACGGGGGCAGAGCAGCCTGCTCGGCATCAGCCTGAAGGCACATGATGTTGTCTGGTTTTGTTGGTCCTGCGAAGCTTTCCCTGGGCAGCTGTTGGGAGAGCTCAGTCAACTGCGTAGCGGCCTCAGGGTGCTGGGGAGTAAGGGTGGTGCCACTGGGATGTGTCAGGACTGTGCTCAGGGGTCTGTTTCGCTGCAGGTAGAGAGGTGGTCAGGTATAGGTGTCCCAGGCAGACCTCAGGAAGGACACCAGGCGGCATATTTATTAGTGGGGAAACCCACCAGGCATCTGTGATAGAATGTAGAACGCAAGGAAACCCTTTACAAATAGCACCTGAACTATTTCACGTGACTTGGGCACCAGAGAGCTGTGTATCCTGGACACGTGGAGTGTTTGAATGGACACAGTTGACCACCAGGCTGTGGACACACATCACAGACCAGTAACTCAAGGTGATGAGGCTTGGCTGAAACCAAACCTGGAGTTGCAGATGGTGGCTCTTTCCCTTAGAAGCTTACTAACCCATGATGTAGCTGAACACCACTCAGAGCACGTTTCTCTGCCTTTACAAGTTGAGAACTAAGTTGAGCTGGAATGGAGCTTATTTCTTAGTGAAAATCAGCACAGTCTCTGCTTGGGGCTTTCAGCTGGCCTGGAAACTGCACCTGGGCCTTGGACGTGTGTTTCCCGCGTCCGTGGACGTCCATCCGAGCAGCGGGAGGATGTCTGGTGTGGATGGCTCACTGATGAAGAGAAGCAGGTGGGATGCTGGCAGGGACTGTGGTGTGTGCAGAGGTGAGACTGCTCTGCTGGTGGAAGCCAGCTCGCCGTGTTCAGCTGTCTGGGCTGTGGCAGGAGCACTGAGGCACCTGTGGAGTTCTGTAAGAGGATCTTGGCTGTGTTTCACAGACACGTCCCAGCTCTGGAGAGGATGCGCCGTGAGCCCTAGAGCGCAGGGTTCTTGTGGAATGAGACAGGCTGGCATGTGCATGCAGAGACCTACTGGACAGGCCACTGGTCAGGTTCCTACCTCCCACACATGTGGCCTGAGGGTCAGCGTGTCAGTGCTTCTGTGAGTCTGAGCCCCAGAAAGGTTGCAGTGTGTTGTTAATCGTGTCCCTCCGGATGCAGGTCTCCCATCTCCCTGAGTGTAGATTCTGCTCGTCTTTGAAGTCTGGCTTTTTAAGCCTCCTCCGTGCATTCAGGGGTTCGCACCTCTCTCTCACAAGAGGAGTGCTCGTGTGCCACGTCTGCGTCAGGATTCCTCGGCTCTGCTCTCGGGCCACCTGGCCCTCCAGTGTTGTAGAGTCCAGCTCCTGAGGCCCAGATTCCTAGAGCTGAGTGACATCTGCTTCTGCATTTTCTCTTGCCATTTTCCAAGCACGTGGCTGGCTCATCTCAGGCTGTACTCACTGTTACTGTCTGGGGATGCTGGGTTTGTTGTCTCTGTTTAGCAAAGAATTGGGAGTCTAGTGGGGAGTTTTGGCCAGTTCTTCTTATGGTCTCTTTCCTTTCCTTATCTCCTCCCTGTCCATGCTCTCCTCACTATTATTGATTGGTGCCTCTCTGTCCACGTGTCTGTTTTAGTTTTTCTATCCGTCTCCCTGCTTAGGAGTGCAGGTACAGAAGTGTCTGTCTGGTTGGGACCCCGCCTGTGTCTGCGAGCACTTTCCTCAGGCAGAAAGTTGGCCTCATCAGAATACCCTCTTGTGCTCCTTTGTTCTGGCCCTGCCCAGACCTCCTCCCTGGCCACCCTGCTCTGGCAGCCTACGCCCCTGTGTCTCCCTCAGCGTGGCGTTAGGATCAGGTTGTAGGACTTGGTGCTGTAGTCTGTTTGCATAGCATTCGTGCAGTTTATGTACGATACTTGTCATTTGTTGAAGAGTTTGTATTTTATAAAACTTCGGTCACTTCTCCCTCTTTCCTCCCCTGACCACATGGTGCTAATAAAGCAGGGCTCCAGAAGACCCTCAGGGCCCTAACCTTGGCCTGCAGAAAGGGGCTCCTTTCCTTTGGCAGTAGTGCCTCCCTGGGAGGCGCCATCCCACATCGCTGGTCCCCTGTGCGTTTGTGTCCTGGAGCTGCTGGGATAAGGTATCACAAATTGGGTCACAGATCTGGAGGCCAGAAGCGCAGAAGGAAGGTGCAGCCAGGCCAGCTGCTCGGAGGCTGTCGGGATGGCCCTCCTGACCTTTGCAATGGGGGATGTTGGCAGTCTCTGCCTCTGCTGTCACACGGACATCTTCTCCCCTGGTGTCTCTCTGTCTTCTTAAGGGGACACAAACTGGGCTAGGGCCCCCTTGCATCCTCACCTTGCGTGACAGAGGGAGCGGTTCTGGCGTGTGTGTGGCCGCTGTTACCGCATCGTGTCTGTTCTGCTCCTGCTCTGCTCTCTGAAGGAGGAGCAGCGCTGAGTTCTTGCACAGCTGCCTGCGTGACAGATCTGCGTCTGGCAGCTAAGTGAGGGCCTGCGGAGAGGCAGCAGAGGTGTGTGCAGCTTGCCCATGCAGCTGTCCTCTCAGCCGTTCTGCTGGTGGCCCCATCTGGCTCAGTTTCACATGCATTAGTGTGACAATGTTCTGGCATGATTTTGAGCAGGAAGTTAAAAGTGCAAGCAGAGAGTTTACTCCATGGTGACCTTTCAGCCTTGTGACAGTCTTTTCAGTTTCACAGGAAGCACAGAGGTCTGCTGCACCGTGACACCTTCAGAGGCCATCTTCCTTGCAGGTGACACGGTCCCCCAGTCCTTAAAGAAGTTCCTTTTTTGTCTCCAAATAGCTGGGGAGTAGTTAGTACTCTGTGCATAGCAGACAGGCTGCTGTGAAGAAGCTGTGAACTAGAGCTGTGCTTAGTCATGGCACTGCATTTTTATAAAGCCAGCTGTGTGTGGTCTATCTGGTGCCCTTCCCACCAGGCCCTTCTGTCTGGAGGAGAGATGCACTACTCGAGCAGGCGCCCCGTCCTGTTGCGTTTTCCGAGCTCAGAAATGGACGATGGGAGGTGGTTTCCTGCTATAGGGTTGGTTGCTAAAGCTAGGGCCTTGTTAAAACTATTGGCTGGCTGTCCTCGATGCCCCTTGTGATCACACTGTCTTCTCTGCAGAGCTCTCTGGGGTGCTGCATCAGTGTCACATTCTGGCCTCGGAGATGGTGCACTTCATTCATCAGATGCAGTATTACATCACATTCGAGGTATGCTGACCGTCCTGCTGACTGTAGTCTGAATTAGTAATGCAGACTACTGCAACAGGAAGAACCTGGCATATCCAAAAGCCTGAATTTGTCATTTGCAGGTGCTGGAATGCTCCTGGGACGAGCTTTGGAACCGAGTCCAGCAGGCCCAGGACTTGGACCACATCATCGCAGCGCATGAGGCCTTCCTGGACACCATTACCTCCCGCTGCCTGCTGGACAGTGGCTCCAGGGTAAGGCTGACTGACAGGCCCCAGGAGGATAGCAGGTGCTAGACGGAGCACCTTAGAATCATATGGCCACGTCGTCGGCAGCAATTCAGTGATGTTTGAGGCTCACAAAAACAGAATAGGAAGAGAGTGGGTGGAAGAAGAGCATGCTGTGATGTGCCTGAGGCTGGTGGAGCATGGCGGGCAGGCTGACCCCTGTGTGGTCCAGAAGGAGACGTGTCCTGAGCCATGCTCCGCTGTGGGAACACACGGTAGACCACACAAGGCTCCAAGAGAACAGATGGCCAGTGGCGTGTGCCCAAGTCCCAGACAGTATGCAAAGGAAGCAGGAGCCTTTGCGTTAGGGTGCTGCTTCTCTCTCTTGTCTGTTGCAGTGCTGGGTGGACCAGTGCCCTTGACGTGGAGGCGAGTGCTGTGCTATGGAGCCACCTCCCAGCCGTGTCACTGTCAGTCCAGGGACAATGGTCTCACATGGGCCTTCACTGAGCCAGTGTCTGGCTTCATGCAGTGAACAGACTGCCTGACGAGGGCCCTGCATTCCCACGGCCTTAAGCTTTTGCAAGCTGTCTTCTCCCGGGGGCTCCTGTTCTGGGGTGGCATGTTCCCTGTAGCAGGTCTCTCTGGAGGTCTGGTTTCACCCGGGCCTGGGCAAGGAAGAGCATGCTGCTTTACCTGCAGCAGATGAGCTGCACAGGCCCCAAGCCTCGGTGTCTTTCTTAGGTTAAGTGGCCTCTTTGGTACCATCACAGATAGCCGAGGGTTGCTCCCAGAGCCTTTGTGCTCACCTCAAGGTCCTGCTGTGGGGACGTCCTGCTTTACAGCTCTCATTTTGCCTGGACATCCGAGTGTCTAGATTAGACAAGCATAGCTGAGAAGACAGGGTTTTGATAACACTAAACTTCACTACTAAACAACTATTGATCACATACCTAAAACATGCCAAGCTCAAAGAGTCTTCTGTAAACAGTGTCTTAGAAACAATTCAAGTAACAACAAAGGTAGTCTAAAGTACTTGGAATATACCTAGTAATTTAAAGCGTGTTATTCTAAAGGGTTGCTGGCTTTGTGACCCCTTTTACCATCACGAGACCTATTCTGTTGGGCTGAGATTGTAGCGGGTGTTGGGCTGTCGGGCGGTGTGTGTGTTGTTTAGAGGGTGTCGGGAACACCCTCAGCACATGGCCCACTACGTGGCTGTGGCTGGAGAGCATGCAGTGCCGCGGGAGGCCTTGTTGCCGTGTGCCTCAGTCACGAGCACTATTAGCAGGCCAGGTGGCCACAGTCAGACAGATGAACGGCTTTGCCAGGGACAGGCCAGGGCTGGACTTCCACTGCATTGCTCGACTGTGGCGCTCTCCCGGTTTAAATGGCATACTGGTTCTCTTCAGCAGATGTGCAAGAGTGAAGTTATGTGAGCTATGTGGAATGTTCATCATAGTGACTGGCACACGGTTGTTGGTGCTACTTGAAAGTAATCAAAAGCCATATTGTGTGCACATGTGCAAGCATGTTTTAAAAAGGTATTTACCATCACTAGGTCTAATGCTTCTGTTGGATTGGTGTGAGAATTTGAGAGAATTTGCATGGAGAGCTTGATAATTCATCAGAATAGTATTTAGTTGCTATGACAAAATACCTGAGGGGGTGACTTTAAAGAAAAGAGTTCATTTAGCTTTGGGTTCTGGAGGTCTGAGAGCATGGCACCTGCTTGGGCTTGGCTTCTGGTGAGGGCCACATGCAACTTCAGTTCCTGGCAGGAACTGCAAGGGCAAGTGGTGTGTGTGGAAGAGAGGGACGTGAGAGCTGACCTGCTTCATAAGAGCCTGCTCCTGCCACGATGAGTCTGGTCTCGGGAGACATCAATCCCTCTAATGGCCTGGGCCTCTCTTAAAGGCCCCCACAACTTTACACTGACAGGTTGGGGACCAGGTCTCCAACACTTGCATTTTGGGGGGCAAGCCATCTTCAAACCATAGAAGTTTTTTTTTTAATTTTTTTAAACTGTAAATGGACTTTATTTATTTGTATGTGGTCCTGAGAATGGAACCCAGTGCCTCGCACATGCTAGGCCCGCACTGTACCATTGAGCACAGCTCCAGCCCAAACCGTAGATGATTTTAAGTGCAGAAGTAGTGTTTTGCCAGTACCTCATGCAGTGCTGATCAGTAGTAGGTATTTGGTGAACGAACACTTGGAGAGTTTGGGCTGATGACTTACTTGATAGTATTGTCTTGGTCTATATTCTGTTGCTGTAATAGAAAACCTGAAATGGGATGATTTATAAAGAATGGAGGTTTGTTTTGGCCCATGATTCTGGAGGCTGCAAGTCTAGTGGTGTGGTGCTCACATCTCTTTTACATCTGGTGAGGGGCTCGTGCTGTGTTGCAACCTGCTGCAAGAGCAGCTCAAGTGGGCACGGGTGGGAGGGACAGAACACGAGGGGTGTGCTTGGTTCAGGACAACTCAGGCCTGTGAGAGTGGGTGCTCAGTCCTGTAAGACACCTCCAGTTCCTACAGAGCAGCATGGTCCTCTCCTTGTGGGACCTCAGGACCAAGCGCCTCTCACAGCCCCTCCACCTGCAGCACTGCTAGGCTGGGGACCAGATTTCAGCGTGAGTTGTAGAGGGGACAGACCACATCCAAACCAAGTGTCTTTCTGTCTCACTAGAGATTCAGGAAGCTTAGCAGCACATCAATGTTCTTGTGATTAAAAAAAAAAAAAATGGTCATATCTTTTTAGGTACTTTTAAACCAACTCAGAGCTGTGTTTGACCAGATTATTGAGCTTCAGAATGCTCAAGATGCAATATACAGAGCTGCTCTGGAAGAACTGCAGAGACGATTACAGTTTGAAGAGAAAAAGAAGCAGCATGAAATTGAGGTACGCTTTTCATACTAGGGGGTTTTCAGTCCAGTGATGAGCTAGCTTCTTGCCACAGTAGTCCCAAGTGGCAGCAAGTACCTTTCCTGCGTGAACGTGGATGTAAGAACCCAAAGTATCATCAAACTGTGACATTTGAAAGGAAATGGGTTCTACCACGTTTGGGCACAGTCCCAGAGTACAAAGCTCTTTCATCATTCTAATAAATATATCGTGGTTCACATTCACAAATGAGCGAGACAGAGCATGTGATCCCCAGCAGACCTGACAGAGCATCTGCATGGGAGATCTGCAGCAGAACGCTGTGTGCGATGGTGAGGCCTGGGGACCTTTCCCAGAGACCTCGGGTCCAGGGCTGTCGCTGTGTTGCACTGAGGTCCTCCAGCACTGAGCTGAGGAAAGGAGCACACGGGGAGAGAGCTACCTTCTTTTTGCCGAAGCTGGTTTGGGAGCTCAGAAGTCTGAGAAGATTTTCAGGTGAGTCACTGAAGTGGACAAGTGCCTCTGTCAGGGTGCTGGGAACAAGGTCAGCCTGCAGCAGCCCATTCATTTCCTTCAGCAGCAATGGAGTCCTCCACGAAATGCCTTTAAAGGATTCTGAGATGCTGCACAGTCTGTGGAAGCCCCATAGACACATCACAGATAGCAGGCCAGCTGAGGTGTGCCGGCCCCTGTGGCTGTCCCTGTGCTGAGATAGTGACCCTCGACAGCCGAGTGGTTGTAGCAGGGAGCCCGTGGCCCGGGCCTTAGAGTGCCAGGAAGAGGCACCGTGCCTTCTGCTGTGTGGCACCTTAAGAGGCAGCAAAGGGCCCAGTAGGGAGCGGCCTATGCATTGGAGAATTGGACACAGGTGGCCCAGTGCCTTTTCTGACCCCAGGACTGTGGCTTTGCCTTGTCTTTATGATGATATTGATTAACTAATTCCAAGATATATGTGGAAATAAGACTTAGGGAAGAGTCAGCTGAACAGGGATCGGCATGAGTAATTGAGGACACTCACACAGCTGTCCCCACATCTACAGACTCAGCCTTCTGCAGGTCGGAAATGTTTGGGAGAAAAAAATTGCACCGGTACTCAACACTACAGCCTTCTTTCCTTGTCATATCCCTGAGACAACGCAGTGTGACCGCTGTGTGCTTAGCACGTACATGGTGTCAGGTGCTGTAAGTGTCTAGAGACAGTTCAGAGTGCCGTGAGGTGTGTGCGTGTCCTGTGTGAGCACTGCCCTCTTGATAAGGACTCGAGCATCTGTGGATTTTGGTGTCCACTAGGGCTCCTGGCACTGTCCCCCATGGTTATGGATGGACGAGTTTATACTCAAGACTTACAATGAAGTTATGGTAATTAAAAGAATGATACTGGCTGGAGGAAAGATCAGTGGAGCAGAATCATCCAGAAATGGCCCCATGTGTCCAGAGGTGGCACTGAGAAGAGCAGGCAGGGGCATCAGTTGGCAGCGTTAGGGAGCTCCTTGACCTTTCTGTGCACGCACACACAGGAGCCAGGGCAGGGTTTTACACCCAAGTGCAGAGGTGAGGTACTAGAGCTTCAGAGGGCATAAAGTATCATCGTGACCGTGAGGGTAGGAGACCTTTCAATTGGGTAATTATAAAAGAAGTTAAGTTGATCTTACATCCCAGTTAGTAACATCTGTCATTGGCACGTAACATCAGCACATACCGCCAGCTCAGCTGGAGAAGCTGTTTGCATCCACACAGGTGTCAGCTCATCCAGAATGCGTGAGCGCAGCTGCAAGTCCATGCGACGACCCCAGGAACCATGTGCCTTCAATTGATGAGAAGTATCCGTGTTAACCACCAGTAACTCGAGACTAAACATCTGTACTGCACCAGGCAGAATGGCTGACCTTGTTTTTCTTTCCTGAGCTTTTCTTTTTCCTACCTTTTTTACTGGAGCATTGTAGCTGTGCATGATGGTGGGGTTTGTTCCTACATACTCATATGTGCACACAAAAGGCCAACGTTTTGAAGATTGACAGTGTCCACTGTGGGTAGGTGGAGCCAGTGAGAACTTGGCACTGCTGGTGGAGGGCAGGTTGGAGCAGACACTTTGGGATGCGTGGGCAGTGATGTGTGCTGGGCCTGTGAGCATCTGGCCCATCGCCTCACTCTTGGGGGACCCCTGCAGCTCTGCAGCTGCCGGTCCCCATCCCACTGGGTGAGGCCACATGTGTGCGTCTCCATGTGACGAGGAGGCTGTAGGCTGTCCATGTATGAGCTCTGTATCTTTTTATGCTTTCTGCTGCAGCAAAGGAGCATGTTTATATTTCAGTGTAGGGTCTAGAGTACTCCTCCATGTAAGTTACTAAAGAGAGATGAGTTCAGTAACGCCTGTACGTTGCTGGTCGAAAAGGCATTTATTTAAGTCACCACTGATTGGAAATCACCTTTTTAAAAATAGAAGTAGGTGGAAATGTCTCTAGTAGAATTGCCTCCATCTCAGGAATGAATTAAGCCTGTCCTAAGGGACATGGCAGTGCCCCGCCTGGAGTCCACTCTCACCTGTGTTTTCAGGAGGATGTCAGGCTGTGCATCTGTAGTCGGGAAAGACGGGCAGCCTGGGTGAATCACATAGGTTGTTGCCTGCTGTATAGTGTGATACTGTAGGTACTAAAAGCAAGTATTTATCAAGAAATTAAATTTGGTGATTTTGATTCTTCAGGGTCAGTGGGGGGTGACGGCAGTGGAGGAAGAGGAGGAGAATAGGAGGATCCGAGAATTTCAAGACTCTGTACCAAAAATGTGTTCACAGTTGCAAATATTGACGCACTTCTACCAGGTGGGTGTTGGCATTTCCTGTAAGTGACAGAAATTTCTCTTGCTTTCAAAGAACTGGTTCCCTCCGAATGGCTCTGGTTTGTATAGATGTGAGTGGTGGCCAGGATGGAGCCCCAGGAGCCCAGGGGCCCAGTGGCCTACTGGGAGACAGGTCTGAATGGGCTCCTATGGGCAGCCTCGACAAGAAGCCCAACAGGGAGGTTGGCACTTGGGGCCTGAGGCCTGTTTCCAGCCTGCAGACACCACACCAGACCACGGGGCCCGTGGAGGAGCTGTCCCGGCCCAGAGCAGATGCGCCTGTGCGGGATGGTGCTGGGCTCAAGATCCCTTCTCCTCCCGGGCCGGTTGCCTGCTTGCTAAAAGTGGACACCTATGACTAGCTCTGTGCTGCCAAAATAAGATAGTTGTGTAGCCACAGAGCAGTACTGTATGATCTAAAGAATTGGGCCAATTGCCCGTTTCAGAGAGAGAGTGGTCTAGTTTATGGTTACATATTTCCCTGATGGAGTTGATATAGATCTTAAAGAGTCATCTTAATTAGTCTAATCCCGATTTTGTTGAAATTGCAGTCTTAATCTTGGTAAATCATTACCATTCAAATTCCTTGACAGCAAAAGGCCGTTTCTCCGCTCTGGCGTACTGAGACAGTTGGGTGTTAGGTGCTGCTTGTCACAGGAAGCCAGTCTCTGTCATTCTAGTGGCTGTCCTGTCACCTACACAGACACTGGAAACTTGAGCACGCTGCAGGGTGTGTGTGCCCCAGGTGGGTCCTGTGTGGGTCTGAGTGCCTGCACCTGCCACTCCAGCCCGGCAGAGGGGTGGCCACAGAGAAGACTGTAGGTGCCTGTGTCTCTTTCCTGTGGAAGGCTCTTCCAAGACAGCTGAAGCCACAGAGGTGAAGAGCAGCCCCTTACAGATAAGCTCGTGCTGGTGGTGTAGTCACAGTGGAACCGCAGAGGACCCTGTGACCCTGAGCAGGCGGCTTCTTGTATTAGACTATGGGACAGCTCGTGTCCTGTTGCGGCCTCTTTACAAAGCTCCTTGGCAGAGGTGATGGCGTGTCCCGCCATGGCCTCGAGTGCAGCCTGCTCTCCGGCCCCTGTCCGGGTCAGCTTGCATGTTTTCAGCCTGTGTCCCCTCAGAGCTCTGTGGTGGACGTGCTTGCAGCCTCACGTGGGGAGTGAAAAGCCAGCACCGGGTTTAGATTCAGAGCAGGAAGGATCGAGTGCTTCTACAGGATTTTGTTTATTTTTGTACAACTTCAGTACCGAAAGGAAAAGTCTGTTGGTTTTTGCATTGCTAATTGTGTTTGTAAACTGAGCTCCGGGTGCTGTGGCATTGGCGGAGCCAGCTCCAGGTTCCAGCCCCAGGTCCCTGATGCCTGCTGAGGGTACATTGCAGGCTCTTGGCAGAAGGAAGAACCAGCCTAGGGGCCTGGAGGAGTCAGGAGCTGGTGGGTGGTTCGCTTCTAAACGAGTGTCCCACTGCTGTTGTCTCTCCAGGGCATCGTGCAGCAGTTCCTGGTGTTACTGACGACCAGCTCTGACGAAAGTCTCCGGTTTCTCAGCTTCAGGTTGGACTTCAACGAGCATTATAAAGCCAGAGAGCCCAGACTCCGCGTGTCTCTGGGCACCAGAGGGCGGCGCAGTTCTCACATGTGACGGGCGCCTTCTCCCGAGGAGCTGCGCAGGTTGCTGTGGTCAGCGCTGAGATTCAGTTCACATTCTGGGCCCTCCCGGCAGCTGGGAGGAGGCCCTGTGTTTGTGGCAGGGTGGCTGGAGGAATGGGTTTTGCGCTGCAGTTGAGTGCGAGGTTGCTGGGTCGAAGAGGCTAGCTGGCGCTGTCTTCCCACTCAGAAGATGCCGGGGTGTTTTGGGCTGCCTAAGCTCTCTGTGTCGTTTATATTTGTCACTTTTTTTAGAAACTTGTGTTTCTTTTAGCACAAGGGCAGTGCTGTATTCATGAATTGAAATGGTAATGTCAAGGCTATTTTTTTAACATCCTCTTTAGAGGCAATTTTTGTTATCATAATGAAATTAAACTGAAAAAAGACGTCCCTACTAAGATAATACACAGAGCATTTGTTTGGTTTTAATGCTGTGACATACTGACCCCTGAGAGCGTTTGTGTCTTAACGCGTTGCCTTCACATACGTCTGTTCTGACTTTTTCTTCCAAAGTCACATTTTTATATTTAGTTTACTATTTTAGATAACTTCTAAAACAGTACAGAAACAAGTAGGCACGATATAGAACAGAGTCCTCAAACAGTGCAGCCAGATTGCTCAAAACTGTCAGCTGAAGCAGTGTGTAGATACAAATAACTCCAAAGTAAGAATTTTATTTTCAGAATCCTGACAAGCATTGGAAAGAAATCGACTTGGATAATGAAGGTTTCCTTTTCCCTTGCCTATTTTTTCATTGTAAATATTTATATACCACTGACCAGATGTTGGGGGGAACTGTTTTTGTAAAAATGTCATATCAGGTCACATAAATCTGCCTTTTTTATGTTGCATAAATGAAAACTTAGAGAATTAAAGGCAACCATCTTTCAGATGCACTGCTTATCTCTTAGCAGTCTGTGAAGAGATGGTCCCTTGCCAGGCCTGGGGTGGGGGGTTGAATTGGATTTAACGTGATGCAGCATAGGAATTATTTAATTTGTGAAACCAAGAAACCAGGCTGTGTGCGACTTCCAGTGCAGAACCTAAGGGACCCCCACTCTCTGCTGGGTGAGGAGTCCTCAGCCGATAGCCACCTCTGTCACTCAGGAGGTGCGAGGCTCGGTCCCAGAGTGGAGTGGCCCCTGGCGAGTGTCCTCAGGGCCTGCCTGCTGTGCTCCAGTTAGCTCCCAGGCTGCTCCAGTTTGGTTTAAGTGTGATTATGATAATCTGCTGTTTTTCCTGTCCAGCTCAGGTGTGGCTGCCACTGTTGGAAGTATGGTCTCACTTGTGGTATTCATGTGCTCCAGTGGACGCATGGACATTAGGAGGACGTGTAGAGGGGCTGAGGATGTGCAGGCTGGAGGGAACCCTGGATCAGACAGTGCACTCAGGTGTGGATGGTTGGCAGGGCTGGCCCTGCTGGAGCCGGCAGGACCTATGGGTTCAGCTTGGCGGGAGGGGAGAAGGGGCAGCTGGCCAGACGAGCGTCCTGTCAGGGAGATCACCGTCTTGCTCTGGTGTTGTTGCTGGTGCCCTGCTGTAAGGTGGCCCGGGCAGCCTTGGACTGCTCTGCTCTGCTCTCCCAGGCTCTGGCATGTGCTGGTGTGGTTTCCGCATCCATGCCCCTGTGGCCTTCCCAGTGTCCCCAGTGCGCTGCGCCCCTTCCCTTCTTGTACTCTTGTCTGTACTCGCTCTCCCTCTCCCTTCCCGGGTGGTGGTGTGGCTCCAGGCCCAGCTCACTTGCTCCTGCTCTTCTGCAAGGTGCAGCTTCCCCGCAGAACCCGCCTCGTGATGGCTGTGTGACAGGCGAGTGCGCGTGGGGTCGGCTCACTGTCAGCCTGTCCCTGACCACACCCCCTTGCTGTGACCCAGCCACGCCGTCCACGGGGCACTGTCAGGGTCTTCGACTCGTGTGTGGTTCTGTCCTGTCAGGTTTTCTCGTGACTATGGATATTGTTTCAGCTTCAGAATTTCTGGGAGTTTTGTTTTTTTCCTTTTCCTTTTTGAAAAAGAATAAAAGAAAAACAAAGGGGAATTGGCTGCACCGTGTGCAGCATGTTGAGACTGGTATGTAAAGGGTGCTAGACAGGAGTCAGAAGAGCCCTCAGTGGATGGAGCAGTGCCGTGGTGCAGGCTCACGGAGGCTCCGTGTCGGAAGAAGACCCACCTCGGAGGTGTGAGATGTTTGGTTCCCAGTTCAAGTGCTTTGGAGTACATGGTTTTGGGCAAACCATTTGAAAAAAATTAAGAGCTTTAATTCAGATCCCAGGAAAAATTCAGATGGCTTGAATGGTTTAAAGGTGAAAGTAAAACATTAAGGCTGCTAGGAAAGTGCAGTCTCTTATAATCCTAGGGCGCCTAACACGTGAGTAGCATCCTCTAGGACTGACCTGTGAAGGGAGGGATGTCAGAGGTGACAGTGAGAAGCAGCAGTACAGTGGTTGAGACAGACACAGCCTGGGAGCCTGGTTGCTGATAACAAGGTCTGTGTCCTAGTGGCAGCTGGCCCTGGGAATGACTGGAATAAAAAGCGAGTCCAGGCACGCCACACACGCACAGAGGAGGAGCACGGGACTCGTGCACATGGAGACCCAGGAAAGGTGTGGGAGGCTACCTCCCAGGCAGGTCACCCGCTGCATGTTGCCCCACGCCAGCGCCTGACTCAGTGAGGACACATCTGTCGCCCAGGCGTCCTGGAGATGCCTGCCCCGCTTGCTGCCGTGGCCTCCCAGCTCCAGGCAGCCCGTCTGGTCTCCTGTTTTCTAGAGTTCCACTAGTGCTGTGTCTGTGCCCGTGTCTGGCCTCCCACTAACCACAGGTCAGTCTTGAGGTTCACTCTCTGCTGTTGCCTGGGAGAGCCGGTTCTGCTCCTTACCTGAGTCTTCCCCGGGATCAGCACAGCTGGCTGGCCCTTTGCCTGTTGACCATCGAATGTTCCCGTGTTTTAATCTTGCAGTGAAGGTGCCGAGTGGATGGTCCCCTGGGCTGCATGTGTGGTGCCAGTCCCTGGGGTTATGGTGGTCAGGTGCAGGAGGCGCGGGACTGCTCAGTTCTCAGTGCAAGGCTCCGTTGCTCCTGGTGCTTGTCACGGTGGGTGTTCTCGTCTGTGGGGGTGTTACGTGGCTGTAGCTCACGTTGCCCTGAGCGTGTTGGAGTTGAACACAATGGGCAGCCTCTGTCAGGAGCCTTGGCCTGTGTATTTATTAGGTTGT